AAAGAGGGAACAAATCTTTACAACAAGGATCATTCCCACCCCATCCATACAGAGTATACAGGGATGGGCAACTTGGACATTGGCTACCCAAAATGGGGTGCTACAAAGGCAAGAAGTGACTGGCTTACAAGCTTTCAAGAGGGAGCCTAGATCCAGAGGGTGAGGAGGAAGGTAGAATCTCCACTGAGTAGTATGCAATCTGTCTGCACGGGGCTGATGAAAGGAAATGTGGATAGGTCTCTCGTGATACAATAGTGAATAAGGACTGATTGTGAGGGTTGGAAATGTAAAGGTAGATGTTTTGTAGCAAGGAGGGGAGTGATTAACTTTGTAGTCTAGGAGCAGAGGTCCCTGGGACCATCAAGGGAGAAGAGTGGAGAGCAGGACAACCCTACCCAGAGAAGCAGTGATGCCTGAGATGGAGGCAGACATGATGACATGGAGAGATGGAGTGGCTGGGGACTTTAGACACAGAGAGGGAGAGAGACTGTGTGCTGATGACTGGGGGGCAGGCTTGCAGGGTATACCCTTTGGTTGGCTGATGATGCATGGAGGGGATTGTAACCATGGCAATGAAACGATATACGATAGGATGAATGTAAAGTTAATGTTCTCCCATGTAAACTATCACATAATTAACAATAAAACATAAAAAAAAAAAAAGTATCACAACTTCTCCACATAATCCAGAGATCTGAGCTGGAGTGTAGATCTTGAAGGATGAGTACAATTCAGAGCTGGGAGGGGACGGGAGGGAATACAACTTGAGCCAAAGTACAGAGTGCAAAGGTCACAGGGCACCAAAAGGCCGACCAGATAGTGGCCTGGAAGCATGTGAGAAGACAGAGGTTCAAATACGGATGAAGTAGTTCACCTATTGGGTGGTGTGTGTTTACTTCACCAGAAAAGTAGCTTTGAGGTCTAGGACAGATACTTGAGTCTGTACTTCAGGGTCTAAGATTAATGCTTAGGGGAAGATGGGCATTTCCCTCCCAACTTCCTTCATGTGTGAGCAAAGAGTTTTGAGCCTTTTGCAGTGTGGAGGTGAACACAATTCTGCAGGTTGTAGGTGAGCCTGGGGTAACAATGACACTATTCTCAATTTGTGCTGTTCACCATCTTCTAGTATTCATTAACCGGGAGCACGCCAACACTGTCCTGCAGAGGGTCAGGAGGGCCAATTCATTTCTCGAAGAGGTGAAAAAAGGGAACCTTGAAAGGGAGTGTGTAGAAGAGACTTGCTCATATGAAGAGGCCCGAGAAGTCTTTGAAGATATCGACAAAACGGTAAGTGTTAATAAGACCAGGATACTAATTCCACACCGAGTTGATTTCAAATGCCCCAAAGGAGACTGCTCATTTGGTCCTTGGCTATCCCCATCTAACTAATTGGGATATATCTATCTGGGTATGACAATATTCCATGCTGGGCTCCCAACCGCAAAGTGCCTATCCTATTTTGTGGTCTCTGTGAGGAGGACAACACAGTACAGTTTGTGGGATTTTTTCTAGTGAGGAAAATTGCTGAAACAGATGGAAGGAATCAAAGTAACTTCGTTATTCATTCTTCTACTATTTGCAAAAACATTCATCACTGTGTCTTCGCAAACCCGGTGAGATACATAGATTTGCTTTATGGATAGAAAAGCTGCAGGGAAGGTATATGCTAAAAAATGAAGGTTTATTAAAAACTATTGTAGTATTTTTAAATCAATTTTAAATATAGAGTAAATGTTACTTTAAAAAATTATTCATAAATTCCATGAATTATTTTAACTTTTAAATGTTCCTTTAATACGTATGCATAGTTTTGAAACTAGAAACAATTATAATGCATCTCCAAGTTAATTTTGCCTTTTTCTCAGCATTGTTCCCCAAACACTCTTCATTACTTCTTTATAGCTATCCTACTTATAATTTTTAAAAGTCGTTCTATTTTATTAAAATCCTTTCACTGTTCACATATTTGACCATTAAAACTATTTATAAACATTGCTATTCTATAACCTCACCCACATATATTTCTTCTGAGCTGGCTCCTAAAAATAGTTTCTCAAAGAGGAACTCATGAATCAGATTAATCCCAGAGAGAGGTTAATGAATCAAAGGCTATAAACAAGTTTGGTTCCAGGAACAATGGAATAATCACATACCACTCTGTCTCTCCTACTAACTGTGACTATAAAACCTGAAGCAGCTTCTTGATGTTTCTGAAAAGGAAATCACAGCAGATGTTTGAAGAAGTCCAGAATTTGAAGTGCCATGAATTTTGCAGTCAGCTTACCATTTTCCCCCTCTCCTGTTACTTGACCTGAATCTAACAGGTTAGTCAGTCTGACAACAGTAGGCTATACTTTCTTCCCAAGAATCCACTGAGCATTCCCCAAGATGGCCACATCTTGAGTCATAAAACACACCTTAACGAATTGTAAAGACTCACATTGTATGAAGGATATTCCCTGGCCTCAATGGAATTAAACTGAAAATCAATCACAGGAACACTTTTTAAGTATGTGGAAAGTAGACGCACTTCTAAAAACACTATGGGTCAAGAAAAAGTCTCAAGAGATAATTGAAAATATTTTGAACTGAACCAAAATGAATATGCAACATACAAGAGCTGTGAGATGCAGCTAAGGCAGCACTTAGAGGGAAATGTTTAGTATTACATGACCATATTAAACAAGAAGAACAGTCTCAAACAAATCATCTAAGCTTTCACCTTAGGAAACTAGAAGAAGAGCAAAATAAACCCAAAGTAAACAAAAGAAGAAAATTAAAAGAGCAGGTACCAATAAAATTGAAGACAAAAAAATAGGGAAAAAAAAGTATAAAACTTTAAAAGTTCTGGAATGATTAACCAAGAGAGAGAACAAGAATGAGAGTATACACCAATGAACAATATCAGAAATAAAAAGGGAATCGTGCAGTCTTATCTTAGGCTGGATTCGCTAGAGAAACCAACCAAGTAAAGTATATATGTGCTAAGACCTACTGCCCTCAAGACGATTCTAACTCGTAGTATCCCTATATAGATTCTAAGGTTCTAATCTTTACAGGAGCAGACAGTTTCATCTTTATTCTGAGGACTTAACTGCCTTGTGATTAACAGTCCAGTGCTTATCCTATAGCACCACACCAGGACTCTATATGTATATAAATATATAAAGAGAAAGAGAGACAGAGAGAGAGAGATGACTCTCTCTTTACATAGAGAGAGAGAGAAAGAGAGAGACAGAGTCCTGGTGTGGAGCTATAAGGTAAGCAGTGGACTGCAAAGTTCAAACTCACCAGTTGCTCCTCAGGAACTTTATACAGGTTGCTATGAGTCAGAACCAACTGAACAACACTTAACAACAACAACACATATATGTATATATAGAGAGAGAGTCCTGGGATGGCGCTGTGGGTTAATGCACTGGATTGTAACATCAGTTTGAACCACAAGGTGGGTGGTTCAAGCTAACCAGCCACTTCTTGGAAACCCTATCCAGGGCCACTATGGGTCAGAACCAACTTGACGTTACTTAACAACAATAAACATGCATGTATATGTATACATACACACACACACACACACACACACAGAGGTTTAGCTCAAGGGAATAATAACTCACACAGTTGTAGAGGTGGATAGGTTCCAAGTGTGGGGGTCAGGCTGGAGGTTTCTCCTGACTCAGGTAGCTGCAGGGACTGAAGAATCCAAGGTCGGCAGGTCAGATGACAGGCTGCTGGCTATAGAGGTGAAAGAATTCAAGGTCAGCAGATAACATGGTAGACTTCTGACCACTCACAGGACCAGCAAGCACTATGACAGGCTACTGGCTCAAGTTCAAAAAACTGAAGGTCAGATGTCAAGTCAGATGCAGCATCCAGACCCAGGAAAAAAAGCAACATTTCCCTGAGTGTCCAATACTGTGGAAGCAGGCCACACCCCTGAGGAATGCTTTCAGTTGATTGGCTGCTCATAGCAGATCCCATTGTAAGGGATTACCATGTCTTAACTGCCGAACTGCTGAGAATCCTGCAAATCAAGTTGACACAAAACCTTAACTATCGTAATTACTGCAGATTCTAGAGACATTGAAAAGATAATCAAGGAATACTATGAATACCTCTGGACTTCTGGTGCATCAGCACTGGGCTGTGGCATATGTGTGTGTATATATAACATAGATATATAGATATATATAGAAAGAGTTCTAGTGTGGTGTTGGTGTGACGCTGTATATAAGTCCTTACAGACACAACTGTACGCACACACCCATCTGCTCACATGTGCCTTCCTACACACATACATGTATTCAATCCACATATGTAAGTACACATTTTTTGGTTGCTATTATTCTTTTTTTAAGGAGCTCTGGTAGCATAGTGGTTACGAATTGGGCTGCTAACCTGAAGGTCAGTAGTTTGAAACTACCAGGGGTTCCGCAGGAGAAAGATGAGGAGTTCTGCTCCCATAAAGATTTACAGCATCGGAAACCCTTTGCAGGGCCACTATGAGTCAGAACCGACTCCATGGTACATTACAATTATTCTTTTTGGAAACACCAATTGACTTTTTTTTTACAAAGGTGCAAAAGCCATTCAAATGAAAAAAGAATTGTCTTTCAGTAATAGCATTGGAACAATTGGACATTTGTTTCCAAAAAAGGTGATCCTTCACCTAAATACAACTTACACTAAAATGAACTCAAAATGGATCATAAATACAAAGGTAAACCATAAATCTATGATGCTCAGAAGGAAATAAGAAAATATGAGGATATTTTCATGACTTAAGGTTAGGCAGGAAGTGTTTAGATATGACACCAAAAACATTGGTCATAAAATAAAACTTTGATACATTGAACACCATCAAAATTTTAATTATTTTCTTTGAGAAAGACACTGTTCAAATAAAAATAAAAAAGCCCATAAATGAAATGTTCTACATCCTACTTTGGTGAGTAGTGACTTGGGTCTTAAAAATTTGTGAGCAGTCATTTAAGATATACTTTTAGTCTCTCAGCATCCACAGCAAAAAACCAAAAAGTGAAGAAAATCAAAGATGCAAGGAAACATTAGTCCAAAGAACCAATGAATCATGGGAACCTCAGGCTCCATGACCCTAACATCAGAAAAACTAGATGGTGCTCAGCAATACCACACTCCGAAAGAGATCACAGTAGACCGTTCTGGATAGAGTGGGGAAAAAACGTGGAACAACCACCAAAATAATTTTTTAGAAAAACAAACAAAAAACCAGGTTTACTAGGTAGAGAGAAATGGATGGGACCTCTGAACCTGGGGCTCATAGTCACTCTTTAAGCCTTGAAGTGAACTCACCCCATGGTTCAACTTTCAGCCAAACAACAGATGAACCTATAAGGTGAACAGTAACACCAAGAAGGTACCATCTCATGGACGAATCAATTACTGGTGACTGAAAGGGCAGCATTGGTCCAGAAACAAAATTCAGAATACAGGAAGGGTTAGGAAAGAAGGATGAATGGAAAAGGAAAACACAGGAAGGCAAAGGGCTAAGTGGGTGTTATTTACACTGAGGATTGCAATCATTAGTATGAACCTAAATGTATATGAACTGTTGAACCGAAAACTGATCTGCTCTGTAAGCTTTCACCTAAATCACAATAAAAAGCTAAATTAAAAGAAAAGAAAAGCCAGAGACTAAGAGAAACATTTGTGACAAAAGTTATATAAATAACTCATAGAAGCCCACAACTCAGCAGCTGGTGGGGAGTGAAAATTAAATTTAATGAGGTGAGGATTGGAGAAGACACTTCACTAAAGAGGCTATGTGGATGGCAAATAAGCACATGAAAAGATAGTCAACATGATTAGCCTTATGAAATGCAATTTGACACTTTGTTGTTGTCAGGTGCCATCGAGTCGGAACCGACTCATACCGACCCCATGCACAGCAGAACGAAACAATGTCCGATCCTGGGCCAACCTCACTACCACTGCCACACTTGATGCCATCAATGATGCCACCTGG